GCGTATCACGGTCCTCCAGTCGGAGACCCAAACATTGTCTTTTGGGGCCTTCTGGGGGCGTTCTTGGGGCACTCTAGGGCGCACTTGTGGCTGTCTTGGGGCTCTCTTCGGCCTCTCTCAAGGCTCTCTTGGGCCATTTTGGAGTCATCCTGAGGCCTCAGAAGTCCATCGGAAGCAAAAAGTCGAGAAGGTACACACTATGGATTCCCTGAGGTTTCGGACGGATTTGGGCCTCTCAGGGGCGTCCTTGGGAGGCTCCTTGGCCGCTTGGAGACGTCTTGGGGCCGCCTTGGAGCCTCTTGGAGGTATGTGGGAAACTATCCTGAGCCTTCTTGGGCTTTCATATGCGATCCTGAAGGCCGTCCATCTTGGGCGTTCAAGCGGGTCGCGAACCCCCCCCCCTTTCAGACCCAGGGTGAGGGAGGAGCGGGAGGCGTCGAACTGCCCACAGGCCGCAGGCCGTCTCGCTCGCTCCCACCTGCCCTCCCAACACATACGCAGCACACGGGCCCCAGCAGATTCAGTGGTCGCTATTGGATGGGAGCACCTACAGTTTTAAGTCGGGCCTGTCCCCCTTCAGGGGGAATATTCAGAAATAGTATAAAATAGTCTGGAGACTATTTTTTGACCATTCTCGATTTTGGGTTTCACATCAGCTCGGGGTATTCTCTGATTTTTCGCCCAGAATCCCCCTGCAGGGGGACAGGCCCGACCGAATCCTACAGTGAAGCCGTGCCGACGCCAGGTGCGCGGCGCTGGCGAGGTGCGCCAAGCGCGTGCCGGGCGCGCCAAGCGAGCAGGCGCGCCAAAGGTGCGCCGGGTGCGCCGCGTGCTCCACATTCCGGGCCGAACGAGAGGGGGGGAAAGGGGGTGGTGATGACTAGGGGTGTGTGTGTGTGTGTGTGTGTGGATGTCATGGCGGGGGCCATGCTATTTCCTCAGCTTTCATGGAGCCTCTTCTTATTTCATTGCGTCCCTGGCCCCCCCGCCGGGCCGCACATGTGCAGCAGGTCATGATTTGCACCCCCCCCTCTTGGACACCCCCCTCTTGGCCGCTCCCTAGAAAGGGGGGGGATCGGGAAAGGGAGGGGGTACGAAATCTGCTGCATGCAGCTGGCGTCGGCCCCGCCGCCGGGCCCATTCCTCAATGCATGGGCGCGCGCCGGGGAACTCGGCAAGGTGAGCTGATTCTCAAACCCCCCTTTTGCGATCCCCCCCTTTGCTACCCTCCTTTGCTGATTCTCAAGCCCCTTTGCTGTCCCCCTTTGTATCCCCCCCTTTGCTATCCCCACTTTGCTATCCCCCTTTGCTATCCCCCCCTTTGCCCCCAGGTGAGCTGATTCTCAAACCCCCCCTTCGCTATCCCCCCCTTTCGCCCGGCCCGACACATGCGCCAAGCGTGCCCTGCTTCGGTGGCAGATCATGGGAGCCTCGTGTGCCCTCACAGTTTTGTCTTGAGCGTCGGCTCGCGTCGCCTAGCACCTGGGAGTCGATGAGATAGCGCCGATGTAGCGCGTCGATTCGCGTCGATTTAGCGTCGATTCGCGTCGATTCAGCGTCGATTAGCGTCGATTCGCAAGAGCCGACACGATGGCATGGGAGGCTCCCATGAGTTGCCACCGAACCTTGTGCTTGCTCAAACCGCGCCAGGGTGTGCCACGCGCGCGACGCGCGCAGGGCGTGCCCAGTGCGCCAGCGCACTTTTCAGCACACATCAGGAGACACTCCAGTCCCCTACCGCCATGGTTGCCAATAACATTGTATATGCTGTATGGTGGCGGCATGGTGTATGGTATAGCTGCACCCGCGTTCACCTTGCACATCAGTTTTCGGCAGGGATGGTGGGCCTACGCGCGTCGGCGCATC